GAGTTCAAGACCAGCATGAACTGCATAGCAAGATCTTGTCTCAAAAAATATTTTTATACTTATGGTAGATACATTTTGTTATTTTAAACAATTTATTTACATGTTTATAAAATTTTGTTATGATAGTAAATAGGTTTCCATTTTTACAGCTAGGCTACTTGTAGCTGAATTAAACTATAAAGCAGGTGATATGTTTATAATTTTTTAACCTATTTATATTTTTAAAACTTTGGTTTTGAATGAAAAAATAGTACAAGGAGTTTTTTGTAGTTGACAATTACTATAAGACCCAGATTTTAAATGCTGAGTTGTAATTAAAATTCGATGTTTGAGAAAACTAATAAAAGAGTTGATGCACTTTTAAAAATGTGAACTAATGGTGGACATTAGTATTCCCCAAAATTGTTGTAGATTGATCAACTTCAAATACTTGTTGTATCTGTGAACCTATAAATAAGGCAGAAGTAAAGAAACCTCAGAATTTGAGAAAAATAGTTATTATGGCTTATATTTAGATATCCCTCCAAAACCTCATGAGATCACAGGTGGGGCTTTTTCAGAGGTGGCTGAATCTAGAGTCTGTGACACTGGAATTGATAGGGTACAGTGCCAGGATCAAGGGCACTAGGACTAAGGGTGTGAGTGCTTCCTGCCCTAAGGTAGCCTAGATAAGATACAAGGAATAGAAAGAACTGTGCTCATGTTGCTTTATTAACTTCTGCCTGCCATGTGTCTGTGATGCATTTCTACCATGTGCCACCCTACCTTAGAGCCAGGTAATTATGGACTAAAACCTCTACAAACTGTGAGCTAAATATAAACCTTTCCTCCATTAATTTTGGGTGTTGGATGTTTTGTATTAACCATGAGAAAATTCATAATAGTTTTTCATAATGACAGTAGTTTTTCATAGAGTCCTAATATTCTGTGTTAAATAAAATTGATATATTTTTATTAGACTTTTTTTTCTGGCTCTTGGATGTTCATTTTGCATTTTTAAACTGAATGTGGACCTTTCGACTGATACCAATAAAACACTTAGTTATTGTATATGAGGTTCTTATTGTTTCCCTCAAAAGATTTTTTTCTTGTTCTTCAGAATGTATTAGTGATTAGTCTATCCATGAACCAGAAGTGCTTTGAGAATTTAGGAAAATTATTTTCCAGGAATGAAAAGATTACCTTTTCAAACAATTTAGGACAATAATTTTATCTTGTCCTGTCTTCAGAATTTAAAAGCATTTCACTGCCAAGTTATATAATCCAAAGGCCCAATACTTGTACCCAACCTAATCTTGTAATTATCCTTGATTATTGTACTCTGGCCATGTACACCTTTTTCTGGACTTTCCAGTGTTGAATTTGTTTTCTCTGTTTGGAGCAATGCAGTTTATCTCATTTCTAGCTTCCGTTCTTTGTTCTGTTGGTTCTCTACTTTATCTTTTCAAGGAGAGACTGTGAAAATACTCTACCACTTCATTTATACCCCAGCATCTCAAAGGGACTTTCTAAGGCAGTCTATTATGTTGTCTCTCTTTTGGTCTGTCCTTTCATTTTGATTTTGTTTTATTCCCAAATTTAGTTTTCATCACCCTGTATAAGACATGGTCTATTGTTAAAGAAATAAAGGAAAAACTAAAAAAAAAATCAATTACTTGAATTTATGCTGCTTAGTGTATTTTCTCTCCTGAGTCTTACATAGTATTGCTCACTGTGCTTGATTTTTGTTTATTGGTCAACATCCTGTACAAGCTGTAAGTCACATTTCATTTAATTCATTGGTCACATTTCTTTACTGATTCCATAATGGGCTATCTTTTCAGCTATGTGAACATCAAAAAATACTCATGTCTATGTGCTATATGAATCTTGTGTTCTACATGGTTTATGAAAATATTATCAGAGTATCATGAGCTCATAGTTTCCTCATGAACATGTTTTAATATCTTATGCCAGATACTGTGGAGATAAGTTTTATTGTAGAACTACTTATGTATAATTATTATAAATAAAAATTCAGCTTATCATTTTCAGTAGTCCTATTTAAATTCCGTAATTGCCACAGCACAATGTAGAATATTTTCATTGTCATAGAAAGTTCTGTTGGACAGTGATACAGTTTTGAAACATTATTTATAGGGTAACAAAATACCTCACCAGGTATTGCCATAATAGAAACTCTGGATTCTTTTATCAGGAGTGGAGATGTTACAGAGATATACTTATTGTCATAGATATTAGAAAGTGAATCTTTTGTATGAGAATTGGTAAACTTTTCAGATTTCTGATTATATCATATTAGATACAGTCCCTCATAAGTGCTATTCTTTTTTATAACTTCCAAATTTACATTTATTACTGCCTTCAGAAAGTCTTTCTTGATGACTCTTCTTTCCCCCGATTATTAGTCAACTTTCTGACTCTGTGACCAAATATCAAATTTAAGAGAAGGACAAGTTAAAGGAACATTTTAAGGAAAGGAAAAACAAAGGGAAAAATATTACTTTGATTCACTTTCTGGTTGAGTTCATGTTTTCAGTTGTTTATGTTCTGGCTCTTACAAGCATTATAGAATGAAAATCTTGGCAGGATGGCATGACTGAGGAAAGCTTCTCATCTCCTGGGAATCATAACTAGCAAAGAAGATGCAAAAAGTGATGCCCTATTCAAAAAGATGCCCGTAGTAGCCTACTTGCTCCAACCACACCCCAGTCTGCTTGACTAATGGATTCATCAATAAATTAATCAACTTATCACTAGTTGAAGTTAGCATCCTCAAAATCCAGTCACCTTCCTAGGCTCCACCTGTGAATATTATTGCATTGCCCTAGGTACAAAATGTTCAAGGGATACATCATGTTTAAACTGTCACAATTACCCCTACTGTATTCTCCCAACACACATTTATCTCTTAGGTTAAAACTGATTGCGTGCTCCTCTGCCTTCCTCTTTTATGGTGTTTTATTTTAGTGTCAGAAAGAGAGACCGATTAGCTACAAACATAGGATTATTGGGAGTTATGTAAGTCTACCCAACATGACCTTATTGGGAATTACTTAAGTTTATTTGCCATGTTCCTGAATGTATGCTTGCTCTAGAGTACATTGTGAGAGAATGACTATGAAACAGAAATAATTTGTAATGAAAAGTACAGTGAAAATATAATTTAGCTGCCAAACACACAAAACTGGAAGATTTACATGGAAAGCCAAATTAATAGTTATACTTGTTCCTTTGGTCATGAGTTGTTCCTTTGGTCACAAGTCCTGCTATGGGTAGGTGATGATGAATCCACTCAACTGAAGCCTTCTTGGGTTCAGTGTAGTGTTTCTGTCTGTATGCTAAGATAGTCCTATAAACCTTATCTTTCCACACTTTAGTACAGTTATTATAATAACTGATCTTTCTTTCCCCTTGTTGTAGTCAGGGGTTGCACAGAGAACAATTAGAATTAGGACATGGACTTTATAGTATTTTTTATGATGGTCACCCAGAGTTAACATAAGAAAATTCATGAAATCTATCCACAACACCAAAGACAGAATATTTATCCAAGGGCCTGAACCCCACAGCAAATGTCCCACATGAGTCCAGATGAGGACCCAAAGCTCATGACAATGCCTCCCACGAGTCCAGTTGGAGGTCTAGAGCACACAAGAAGGACTCACGCCAGTCTCTTTTATGGGTCCATGCTGGGAAGGCCCAAAGGTCAGCAGCAGAAGCTAGGAAGTCTATGTCAGCTGAGTGAAGGAGCTGTGCTGCTAGGTTGAGGGTTTCATACTGGAGCCGAGAAGTCACACTCACAACAAAGACCAGAGCTGTCCTGAAAAGCACCACAGCCATCCTCAGCTACACGGAGGTCCCGAGCTTCAGTGAGGATGATAAGAATAATTGAGTACATGCCAGGAAGCCAGCCAGACAAGTTCATCCTTGAGACCAAGCAGCACGTGTCCTCCTCTCCGGAACCTGGAAGTAATGCTCGATGTGAGGACCAGAGCTCCTCCAGGAGAACCAAGGGTTCAAACAGCATTACATAGGAGAACCCACAATGCCTCAATGCCTAAAAGCATCAGTGCATCTCAGTGCATAGCTTCTCCTTCTCCATGTCTCTCTTTATGCTGGCAACTTTTCTCAGGTGAAACATCTACGCTTAACAGCATGGTGATTTAATTCAGCTGCTTGCCCACCAGTTTTTAATCCATTACACCCCTTATTACTTTTGATGAATCAGAATCTAGCTTTATTTATGCCTAAGTAAAATCTCTGTAATAGTATTGATAAAAAGAGAAAGAAATTTTATATATGTTTTGAAGTGACATTAAAGATAAAACCCAGAACCAAAATACCTTCAAACTTTTATGGAATTCTTTCTGATAGCATTAGTCATCTTCTGTTGTTTCTTTGCCAGAAAAGCTAGGAAGTGCTAACTTAAAAGACAGCTAAATTGATTTAATACTGAGAGCTTTTTGTACCCTTAAGAGTATTCTAGATAAATTTTTTTCCCCTGAAATTATAGGACATGGAATTCTTTATTAATAGGGCCAGAATTCTAGTTACCCTTTCAAGGCTTTCAGAAATCTTTCAGTATACTTAGTCATTTCCTTTTATTGAAACTGTTTTCTTAAACATTGAAGATATACATACATATTTTAAAAGCATTTCCTGTTATTGTGTCAGTTTATTCATTAATTACTGATGTTTTCATGTGCTGTTTTCCAGTTTCTTACTGAAGTATACAATATGTATGTTAAATTATAGGCTTATGATTCTTTTATGGGCTGGTGTGCTAATTACACCACTTATAAATAGGTATTTCTGAAGAAAATATTTGGTTTATAAAATGAGCTTATTACACTGCACTGCATTTTAAGCTATGTCTTCTTTTAGACACAAAACGATAAAATACAGTTACACAGATTTGCTAATTTATAAGCATCCTAGTATGATCCTAAAATTTAAATATTTAATAAGTAACCACTGTCGTTTTTTTTTTTTTTAAGGTTCCAGTGACACATTATACATATACACCCCTGAATCAACTTAAAGGTGGTACAGTTGTCAATGTCTATGGTGTTGTGAAATTCTTTAAGCCTCCATATCTAAGCAAAGGAACTGGTAGGTATTAATTTTGGTACCGTTTTTATGGATTACAACTGCATTGTTGGTTTCAAGAACAGCTCCTTTAATACCTAAATCTTACTAGAACAGAAACTCAATTCTCATTTATAATTACCAAAACTGTGCATATTCTCTGGTTCTTATTTTAAAATAAACAGTCTTTAGATTCTGGAGTCTTGTTTAATACGTGAAGAAAAAAATTAAAATGATACCAACCAGCAACACAAAAGCTTATGAAAGTATAAAATTTGCTAGTAATTATATCTATGTTTGTGGGTACGTACAATACTAAAATATTGTAGTAATGGTCCATAAATCACTTTTAAGTCTGGTACAGAATTTGAAGCACAAATGTATATAAAGTAACTTTATAGAAGTATGTTAATGGATACACAATAGAGATCTAAATTATATCATCAAAAGTTAAAGTACAGTGAGAGAGAATTAACAGTGTAGAATTTTTATGCCCTTAAAGTTTTTATATAAGCTTAAGATACATTTTTATGACTGAGATATTTCATATAAACTTCTAACCATAGGAGAATACATAAAGTTAAAATGAAATCAATTATCATTATAAAAACTCAACAAAACATAAAAGAATAGGAGAGGACATACAGATGTACACACTAGTAGAACAAAATAGCATAGAAATAAACCTACATATATGTGGCCAACTGATTATCAATAAGGATGCCAGTAGTATATGGTGGGGGAAAAATAATCTCTTTAACGAATGGTACTGAAAATACTGAATATTCACATACCAGAGAATAAAGTATGATCATCATTTGGCAGAAAAGTGATTTTAGAGTGGTTAAGATTTAAACATATACCTCCCAAACAAAACTCCTTGGATAGAACATAGAGAAATAGTTTGTTGATATTGCACCTAGAGACAGTTTCTTACATATCGCTAAAAGCATAGCAGTAAAAGCAAAAGTAGACAGATAGAAAGATATCAAATTAAAAGGCTACTGTTCAGCAAAGGAAATAATAAGAATGAAAAAGCAATACAAAGAATGAGAGAAAATATTTGCAGACCATATACATATATATATATATATATGTATATATATATATATATGTATATATATATAAAAGTTAATCTCCCAAAAAACACAAAGAACTCTACTACTAAATAGCAAAAAAAACCAAAAAACAAAAAACAAAAAAAAAAAACACAAACAGACAAAAAATCAGACAACAGTAACAACAAAAAGTAAAAGCAACCAAAAACCTGATAACTTAGTCAAAATCTGTCAGTTTGAATAGACATTTCTCCAAAGAAGAAATTGAATGTAAGATGTGCAAAGTTGCTGGATGTCACTAATCATTAGAGAAATAGAAATCAAAACCCAGTGATTTATCTCCTTTATAGTTACTAAGATGGCCATCAACAGTTGTTGACTAGGATATAGAGAAATTGGATCCCTTATATACTGTTTTGAGGCTGAAATGATGCAGCTATTATAGAAAGCAAATTGTTTCCCTAAAAATAGAGCCACCTTTTGGTGCAGCAGTCCCATTTCTAGATATGTATCCTAGAATTGCAATTAGGATCTTAAAGAGATATTGCATTCCCATATTCACTGTGGCATTGTTCACAATAAACAACTTGTGACAGCATTCTAAATGTCAATCAAGGATGAATAGAAAAAGATGTGGCATATACATAGAATTGAACATGGTCCTGCTTCTAGAAAGAAGTCCTGCCATATAAGCCATTCAGATATGAGAGACTGGAATCAGATTCGTAAAGTAGAAAGTAAAGTGGTTTCCAGGGGCCGAGGGGAGAGAGAAATGGGTAGCTACTCTACAATAGATAGAACATTTCTGTTACGCGTGATGAAAATGTTTTAGTAATGTATTCTATAACACTATGCTGTAGATGTCAAAGTTTATTTAGATTATAGATCTCATGTTGCATATTTTTTACTACACTCCCTAAAAAAGGATAAATTAAGCAGTTAGAATGTTGAGATTGGACTGCTACCAGAGTTTTGATTGATACACCTGGGTAGATTTCAAAGTAAGTTACAACTTGCAATGTAAGACTATAGACAACCATGTAAAAAAGCGCATCAAAAACTATAGACTTGGCCCAGGAATTTAGCTCAGGGGCACAGCGCCTGCCTGGCAAGAGTGCGGTCCTGAGTTCAGTTCCTGATACCAAAACCAAACAAAACAACATGGAGTTTAGTTTATCAAGATATGATAAAAACTAAGCAGGATAACACACTTCACCTCAATTTAATCCTGTATTTCACCTCTTAATAAAACTCCATTAGTTAAAGGCACTATTTTATGTGTTATTAAGAACAGAAAATACTGATAGTTAACCTTTAAAAAAAAAAAAAAAACAAAAAAAACCCAAAAAACAAACATGTTTCAGAGCTGGTAAAAATGTGAAGTCATAGCTGCTGATGAAATACTGTCTTTATATATTGCATGCCAGGAGCTATGGTCTTGCTGGTAATACAATAATGTTCTTATTGAGTTCATACTCATAACCTTTTTATAAAGATAAATATATGCATATTTTGTTGAAGAATAAGTTGAAAATCTACAGTGTTGTGACTGGGAGGCAATCTCATTTTCATGTGGTCAACATCGTTTAGTAATATACAGTATAAAAGATACATTGTGAAATGTGAAAGCTACTATGGAGATAAACATGGATTTCACATTAAGTCTGGAAAATCCTTATGATAGGAAAATCTTCATTATGTACTATAAACATCTACTAATAAAATAACCATCAAAACGTGTAAAGAGGAGAATGGAAAACATTAAACATGAAAACTAAGCAGAGAAATTTTTGTTTAAGTATATTTTTCTCAGCCAAGCATGGTGGCACACAAATGTGATCCCAGACAGACGCAGGAGATTCACCGAGAGTTCCAGATCAGCTTGGCCTACAGGTAGAGTTCAAGACCAGTTTGGAATACATAGTGAGACCCTGTTTCAAGAAATGAACATAAATAGATAAAAAATGTTTTTCTCAAAAGATTTTTTCATTACAACTGTATTTTTCCTCAACGTTTACATTCCCCTGCTCCATCAACAGAGACTGCTTATTTCATTGTGGCAGTCTCCTCACTCTCGAAGTTTTCCTCAAATCTTACACGTGTCTTTTCTGGGTAGTAGAAACCCAGTATAATCACCGTGGGTATAATCACTGTGATCTGTCTTCTTAAGGAAAAAAGATATGGGCTGGGAATGTAGCTCAGTGGCACAGTGCCTCCCTGGCAAGCACAAGCTCCTAAGTTCAGTTCTGATACTTTAAAAAAAAAAAAAAAGAAAGAAAATAAGAACAAATTGTCATTTTACCTGATTGACTTTGATTAGCCTACTAAGTTTAGGAGAAGCTATATTACTGTTAATATTTTCCATCTAGCTTTGTAGATGATACAATTAAAAAACTCTTTTAATACCTAGTATGTTATTAATTTTTGTCTTTGAAACTTTAAAAATAAGTTGTTCATCAAATATGACATTTTCAGAAACAATCTAAAAATAGTAATGCAGAATGAAATGATAGCTGTTTTAAAAATACTGATGACTGTTTTCATTTATTAGACAACATATTTATGTTTTATTCTGTTATTAAATCATGCATAAAATGAAAGCCTCAGAACTAATATTTATTAGTTTATGCATACAGCTGTTATGTTATTATCAGATATGTTTTCTTGAATCCAATCTAAGTAAAAAATTCATGGCTAGTAATGAACCATCTGTTATTATACAGACAATATGCTTCTTTGTTCTGAAGTACTACATTTATTTAATGTGATCAGTTTTATCTAAATATACTCATTAAAGCTTTAAAATCCATGTTTCAGACACAGCAAGATGTTTCGACTACTACCAAGACAGTAAAATTTTAAAACTATCCATCTTCTAGCTTTAGTTACAGTAACACTTTTATTTTATTGACAGAACTCATCCTTTAACAGGAGCAAATATTTTAGGAGAGTCAGAGAGCAATGATGCTTGTTTTCCGGAAATGATCCACTTCATTAATATTACCCCAGGAAAATACTGGTGTAAATGTGTAGGACCAGCTATACTTTTCTAAAATACTGCATAAAGCGGTATTATATCACAAATTCAGATCCACAATCTCAGTTACATCCAGATGTATCTAACTAGTTAGGTAGAAAAAAATCATCTTAGGCAACTCAGATTTACTGGTAGATACATTGAGATAAGTTTATGTTATGTTATATATCATTAGAATTATGTTATATATCATTAGAATTTTCACTACAGTTCATTTCATAAATACTAAATTCATTGTGAAACAGGCAGTTAGATATAATTTGGCATCCTTACTCCTTGATTAAAAATTTTCCTGAAGACATTCTTGTCATGCTGAATACTAATCATTGTGTATGACCTGCAGCATGCTACAGTATCTTAATTTTGGCAAGCAGTCTTCATCTATAGCAGATACATCATTTCCTAAACCTTACAGTCAGTCTTAGAGATGGTACTGTTTTTTAGTCTTTCAAAAGTGCCTCAGTTCTTTTAAGGGATGTTTATTACCACACTAACATTCTTACTCAATTGTAATAAGATTCTCCATGAAAACAAAGAATTCCTCAAGGATTATAGAATTGCCGTACATTAAAATATTTTATCATGAGAATTGTTTCATTAAGGTTACCTAACATGATCTTCTTCATATAGAAACGCAAAGCAGTTGTCTTGTTAGGAGTTTGAAGGTTTTTGATTTTTAGTACTGTCCTGGGGACTGAACCTAGGACTTTTGTACTGACCTACAGCCTAGCTTGCTCTTTTGAACACTTTTTTTTTTTTTTTTTTTGGAATTTTGGGACAGTGTCCTGCAGATTTGCATAGTCTGGGCTCAAAGTTTTGGTATTGCTGCCTAGCCTCCCAGAGTCTGAGATTGTTAAGTGCTGGCCACTACATCTGGCTTAGTCCATGCTTTTTGAGTGTGATTTAAAGATGAATGGTAACTTACCTGC